CAGACTACTCGTATCACTATTAATAATAGTCCGTCTACGAATACAAGTCGCGTTAGTAGCAGTCGTAGTCGTTGTAGTAGTCATGGTAGTAGTATTGGTAAAAGTTAGTAGTAGTTAGTAGTATTTAGTAGTAGGGGTAGTAGTAGTAGTCGTCGTAGTAGTAGTAGTCGTCGTAGTTGTAGTATCAGTAGTAGTAGTAGTAGTAGTAGTAGTAGTAGTAGTCGTAGTCGTAGTCGTAGTAGTAGTAGTAGTAGTAGTAGTAGTCGTAGTCGTAGTGGTAGTAGTCGTCGTGGTGGTAAAAAAGAATGCGATGACGACGGCGGTGTCGACGAGGACGGAGGAGGTCTTACGTGTGGCCTCCGCGGGGGAATCTGCTTCGTGCAATTATTGTCCGGACCCCAACAATTCGTCAATGAACCCGCGGAACAAGTACCAAAGTATAGTTTATGGAAGACCCTTAAGAGTTACATTACCATGAATTGCTGGCGGTCCGCCCAGGCTTCTTGGATCGGCATGGGGCCCTCTTGGTGGCGCCTCTGGCGCCGCTCCTGTCGCGCTCCTCCGCGCAAGCGCCGACCCCGACCCAATACATCTGCGCGAATCTCTGGAGGCTCCTGATTCTACATGCATTGATTCTTCTCAGCGGGAGATCGAGGACGACGAGGGAGAGGACTAGCAGGAGGAGGAACAAGAGCAGGAGCGGATGGAGGAGGAGCCAGATGAGGAGGAACAGCAGCAGGGGGCGGACGCGAATCTGGCATCAGTGGCTCCCGTCGGTTACACTACATGTTTGTAGATGTTTCACGCGGTTTCGACGGCGTTGGTGGGGAAGGGGGGGGCCTTGGAATTGCATTGGGTATCCGAGTTATGGTTTTCGAGTTGAGATGTTGGCGTTGCAGTGGGCGTTGGGAGTGTTAGTGGCAACGCTACTGGGCAGAGCGCTACAGCGTCGCAGCGGTTTCGGAATGGCTGTGTGCCAGACGTTGCCATAAGAGCAGAAAAGGGGCTTTGCACGAGGGAGGGCACGAGGGAGGAAGGGAAGGGGAAGAGGGGGAAAGGGAGGGGAGGACGAGAGGAAGGGGGGAAGGGAATGGACGAGGGAGGAATAAAGGGAACGAGGGAGGAAGGGATGGGGGCGGGGGAGGGGAACGGGGGGGGAGGGAAGAATGAAGGGAACGATGGAGAAACCCCAGGACGGGACCGGGGAGGGGAGAACGATGGGGGAGGAAAGGAGGAGCGGGCATGGGAGGACAGGAGAGGGAGGGAGAGAGGGAGGAAGGGAAAGACGTGCTTTTCGTTCTCTTGTTCTCTCTCTCTCTCTGTGTCTCTCTTTCCTTTGCTGTCGTTTTTTATTAGCCTTCCAGATGGTGTCCGAGTAGATGGGGTCGGAGGATCGCGCCGCATCGCCGATACATCCACGATACATCGGCGATGCGGCGCGATGTGGAGCCCGATTTTCTCCACGCTGGCGTTGCCGATGCATCGCCGATGTCGCCGATGCATCGGCGATGTATTCCCGATGTATCGGCGATGCGGCGCGATCTCCCGACCCCATCTACTCCGACCCCATCTAGGAGGCCTCTACTCTCTCTCTCTCTCTCTCTCTCTCTCTCTCCCCCCCCCTCTCTCTATCTCTGCGATTTCCGCCTCCGCCCTTCCATCTCGATTGTTGACCCTCCCATCTACCGAGGATTTGAGAAATGGCAGGGAAGCGGTTTACAAGGGAAGCAGGATGAGGGAAAGGGGCGGGGGGGAGGAGAGAAAGGGAGGGAGGGAGGGGAGGGAAGGAGGGGGAAGGGGATGGGAGGAGTGGGAGGGGATGGGAGAGGAATGGGAGTGAGGGGGGTACATGGAGGGAAGGTGGGCAGACCAGGAGAGGATACAGGGAGGAGCTTATGTGGGGGCTCGCGAACGCCCGCCCCGACAGGCGGAGAGCACAGGTTCGCAGAGGAGATGCCACGGTCGCCGCCGTCCTGCTGCTGCCCCTCCCTCCTCCCTCCACCGCCCGCTCGTACCCTCCTGGGGGCACCGAGTCAGTTCCAGCCGCTGCCGCTGGCCGCCGCTGCTGCAGTACCGCCTCCTCTGCGCCTCGAACCTCTGCCTCTTGAGGGCCGGGCCTGGAGCGGTGGCGGGTGTTTTGGAAGGGGGGGTGATGCTGCTCTGCGATTGTCATGTACATTGCAGCCTCCCTTTCTGCCCTGCCGCCCTCTCCACCCGTGGCCTGCCGCTGCCTTCCGGTTCGCAGGGCCCTTGAGCACCGTTAGCGCGCTGGGAGCGCCGCCCCAGGGAACGCGTGACAGAAAAGGGAACGCAGCTCATCCTGGCCCTTTCCCGCCCATATCACACTACATTCGCTCACTATCGTGAGGTACCACAGCGATACCCACTGCTCCTTCAGCCTTTTATGTTCGTCGTGAAGGGCATGGGAGGAGGGAGAGGAGTCCTTTCCGTCTTCCTCCTCCCCCTCCCGTCCTCTCTGCTTCGCGTTCGTATCCTCACTTCTGGGGGTCTCATTCTTGATCCGCGTTCTTGCGGCCTCCCGTTCGGCGTCGATCGGTCGACCTGGCTCATACTACTCTTCCCCTTTTCAACTTGGTCGCCGCGTGTGCTGCATGCGAAAGGCGAGTTATGTCAGCCCCATCTTCCTTCTTGGGCGACCGAATTTCAAACCAGAGTTTCATGGGTTACTAGGCCGATCGCTGCAATTGCCCTTCCTGTGCGGTTTTTGTTCTTCGTGCAATCCCTTTTCACATGCAGTGGGGGGTGGTATGGCGGGCACTCTAGCGTAAGTTTTGAACAGACATATTTGGACGGATTGCCTGGTACAGCTCGTCGTCCATTCCATGGCCAGCTTTATCGCTTTGGTACCATACATACTAGAGTTGTAGTTGAAGCAGGATGGCGTTCCTGTTGTTTTTCGAACCGTGTTGCTGTCGTCGTTTCCGTCCTACGTCGAGGCTGGCAATAGCGACGCACACGACGAGCACACTATCGCCCTTAAACCCTCCTCCGCAGTAGTGGTTGGATTGAATATCAAGTGCAGCAATAAGGTTTCGGAGTAGGCTTCTGATATTGCGGTGGAACTCCCTGCTCAAGTGCAGCATTGCCTTGGGCGGATCTGAACCATGGGATGGGACTTGTGAATGTGGACGGAAGATGGGAGGAGTTGGAGACCGCGGCCGTTGGGCAGGGGAGGACTGAACAGAGGCACGTCGCGGGAGGACAGCGATTTAGAGAGGTTCTCGGGTAGGCAAGTTTTGTCACCCCTACCACCATTAATAGATACGCAACCACATCCTTTGCCAGCAGAGAGGCCATTTCTATTATCGACCATATCGGACTCCCCCCGTGGTATGGTGCGTTGCCCCAAACAAGAAGATTGGTCGAACCATGCAGGTCATCTTGAACATATTTCTGCGTGACCACCTGTTTGTTGCTGTGCCCCTTGAAGTTACGAGGTTCGCCAGTTGCCAGGCGAACCGACCGTTATCGCTGACCCATCGAAGTTCGACAAGCGCTGCGATCAGCTCAAGCGTCTCACCAGCCCACTCAAAGCAGTGTATCGGTGCCTGCACATAGTTAGGAATGAACGACTCGTAGACTCAACTTGGGAGGTCTGGAGAGCACGCGATTCTGCTGCCACACATCGCCTAGCACTAAGGTATTTTTTGGGGGGTATGGGAGAGCCAAGAGAGATCTTGTCAATCTCAGCGGAGCTTTACCAACTCATGATCAATGGATGGGGGTACGCATGGAAGCGTATGGGAATTGAGGCATGGGGGCTTTCGGCGCTACTGGACAAGAGTACTGCGACCATCGGAATGTTACATGTCTCCCTCGCGCAGTCGATGTCGAACGAGCCAACCGACCATGCCTCCTTGCATGGCTGAACCTAGAGCTTATCCAGACATACTTTGCCAGGGCCCCGAATCGCCGTGGAGTCCCTGTGTGGGCTGATCTCCAACGCCAGAACTGGGCCGGGGTTCCACAAACCCGCTCGTCGGGGGAAGCTCGCAAATCTGCTGGTTCATCGAGTTTTTGCTTGGATGCGATATTGGGAAATCACCCCGGAATTCTGGAATGTATGTCAGGGTCTTCTATCTCTAAGACTGCGGTTGCGGGCCCAACGGTCTGGGCCCCCTCGGCAAGAGTTTCTTCGCAGGTATCCTCAAGGTGGGCCCCAGGTTTTTGAATTCAGAGTGCCGTCGTGGATTTCTCCGATTTCGACATCGTGAAGACACTATTCTTGCAGCTTGCTGGTGCACGGGCTGGGGGCTCAACAGTGCAGGCATCCCGTGGTACGACATATTGAAGGAACTATCCAACGCCTTCGCCTCGCAGGTTCGTGGGCCCTGTGGACAGATGGCTGGATCGGTACGTCAAAGAAGACCCAGGGCTTACATTGTGCCGTTCCGTCTGGCACCCAGGAGATGGCCAGGTCGCCCTCCCGGCCCTCCCCCCCCATCCCCTGGTTCCCCTTCCCTTGTCACCCTTTCCCCTCCCATGCCCCCCCCTCTCACCTTCTTCCACTCTGTCCCCCCCCCCCGCCCCCCCCTCGGCGAGCCTTGCCTTCTTCTGATTGCTCCTCCCCTTTGTCCTGACTCTCCTTCCCCCATTCCGCCCCCCTCCCCGTGGCTTTCTTCGGTCTCCGCTCCCTCGCCCACCCCCCCTCGTCCGCCTCCCCCTTGGGCCCCCTCCCCCCTCCCTGGAGGGAGGGGGGGGGAGCACGGGGGAGGAGGGGGAGGGGAGGAAGGGCGGCGGGGAGGGGGGGGGGGGGGAAGGATGGGGGGGAGGAGCAAGGGAAGAACGCGAGGGAACATGAGGAAGGCTGCACGAGGAGGGGGCAAGAGCAGTACGCTGCAGGATGCAGATGCTTCGCGCGCTCCTGTAACAGATACCCTCCCCCCTCGGCAGGACGGGCGGCGACGCCCCCGACGCCGCCGCCGAACGGCATGCGACCTCCGGGCCCGATCACCGAGCGGAGCGGAGGCCGAGCGGAG